AAATTGATCTTAGTCATTTTATAAACTTCTATACGAAGTTCATATCTTTCAAGTCTTTGAGCAAGAAAGGCCAGTTCAAATTGTCAAAGACCTTCTCTACATCTGAGAAAATCAATGTGGCTTGTTTTTCATTTTCATGTTACTCCAAATATTCCAAAATGTCCAACGCATTTATAAGGTTGTCCTTGAATTGACTTTTAGATAAAAACCCATATTGATCCTCATGAATAAATTATTGCAAAATTATTTTCAGGCTATTGTCTAAAATTATTGTAAACAACTTGTAGTCAGTATTCAATAATGATATCAGCCTATAATTTCTTGTTTAAAGTGAAATCTTGTCCCTCTTTAGATGTTAGTGCTACATTGGCCTCTTTCCAAATCTGGCATTTTTCCTCTCTGGAAGATAGAATTCATAGTGTTTGTACAGACTGTAACAGTTCATCCTCAAACCATTTGTAATAAAAACTTGATAATCCATCTAGTCTAGGTACTTTTCTTAATTAATACTTTTTATAGCTATAATACTTGCAAGTGATCTCCCTTGCGTTTTCCTTGATATTAATGAGTCCGTGGCCTGGTTAGCATAACAGATAGAATTACACCAATCAGCAATATAATAATGGTACTGCAGCTTCTATTTTTTAAATTCTCCCTGCTTTAGTTCCATTTGGAAAGATTCTTATAAAATGTGTGTGACTAAATTTTATAAGACTTGACTGGTTCTATGAATGTGTTAATGAAAAACATCACCCTAACCATTAAACATAACATTGCTTGAAGATTTGGTGCAAGATAATTTATGACATTTTCTGTTGGCACATATCTTGAGATCTTGTGCAGTGAGAACACCATATTGTTCAAGATCCTGCGTAAAATATTGCACAGGGGCTTGGACAAATCAAAGCATATTGTCCGATCTTTTATGGAAAGTATTTTCTTGAACCATAATCTGCACTAACACTGAAAATCACTTCTAATTCTAATCAACTTTTACTATATGAAAAGGCTGCTATTATATACTTGTCACAATGTTCAATGATATATTCTGATTGTAGCTGCAATTCTGTGTTTACTGGAGTGTCTTTTTTTATTCAGTGAGAATTATTTCTGGGAAGATGTGTATTACAAAATACACATGGTATTACCAAAACAGCAATAGTAAATGTGACTTACATAACCTTAGTTCCCATTCTCACAAGGCAATTGTCTTTGCTCATTATTCTGCTGGCTAAAAATGCAGTTTGTTTTCATTTTCTCCAATTGCTTTGCTTCTATGTTCCTAATGAGTATGACTGTGGTAACACTTGACGAACAGAAGATTTCTATTTGCTTTCTTGGAAACTCTGTTAAAGGTTCCCAGTGTTTTCATTATTACAGAATTGCAATAGAGATGAGGATCACAAAGTATCTTTTCAAAATACTAAAAAAGGGAACAAGAAAAAAACTTTGGCAAGTACCCTACATAGCACATCCAAAGTTTCAGAAACTGCCAATCTAGGGTGTGCCCAGTATCGATATACAGCTGTTCTTATTTTGTTGTTTCCTGTAACTTTACATAGTTTTTACTTCTTTTGATCCAGGAAGATTCCCCCTCTCCATCTGAAATATGTAATTCTTATTAGGGTACCATTGGCTCTCTCACTCTTTAGATCTTGGCAGCTGAGTGAACTATTTTCTGGCTGAGCCAGCTGAGAGCAAAGCTAGGCTAATCTGCTGCCGAAGTAGAGTAGCAAAGAGCTCACTGCTCCAAGGTCCCTTCTCCTCAAATTCACCTGGTCCGATGAACAATTTGTCCCATAAATTGGGTAACAAAAATATGCTTCCCACAATTAGCTGTCTAAAGCTACTCCTTTATTCAGATGTCAAAGAAAGCCTTATTTTCCCACCCAAGGAACCATTATCCCTGGTCCCCACCTTGGCTATCCTTAGGAAGAAAAAGGAGGACATGTTGCACAGTGACTGGGTTGCTCTTTAGACAGCTGAGCCAGAATTTACCACATTTTATCCACTCTAGAAGGGAGGTAATGGTGGGCATATCGTTTACACTTAGGCACAACAGACCATCTTATCCTTGGATGTCCCAGAGTCCTGCCTGTGACTGGCTTCTGGCCTGCAGTATGAAACTTGCATGTTGGCTGCAGAGAAGATGTAACCTATGGTCCAAAGCTTGTGGAAGGAACTGGTGGGGAAAACTAAATTCTATTATGGGAAAATCAGTTTGTCGTTAAAAGTCATTGTGCTTTTGAACTTATTTCCATGACGCACTAATTCATTTCCTCAAGATAAAGTTCTGAGATGTTTCATCTTTTTAGATGTTGTAATAAGATAATGAAGGAACAATAAGCTTTGGGGTTGATTTGTGATTAATGTGGGGTCTGCAATTACTTCATTTTGCTATGTTTCCATCAAAAATGAAATATATTCCAGTAGAGGCATATGTGACAAAATTAAAAGATTTGCAACCTTTATGTAACTTGCTTTGTGTTTCAGAGGAAAAAAATATTTCTGCTTCAGCCAGTTTGGGCTCAATTATCTTACCTTAAAGTGTGTGGGAATCTGCTGTATACTGCCCCTGTATTTAGAATTAATTCAAGGACGGTCAAGCTGTAATCCTCCTTACTCATAACTCTCCAATCCAGTAGTATGCTGGTAAATATTTAACAACTGGTTCAATTGGCGTGGTCATTGACACACTTGCCACAGAATTGATTGGTGTACCAGGTATGGTAGGTTAGCTCCACTTTCAGTCACACAAAATTCCCAAAATTTTAACAAATAGCCCTCACAAGTTGGTACACGTTGAGTCGGAAATACCACTGCTCCTATCTCCTTGTGATTTGTCTGCCTCCATTGTCAACCAGTAGAATAAGTGGGTTGAACACTGTCTAATGACAGCCTCTGGTTTAAATCTACCAATCTTCATCCATGTTGTATGAAAAGCAGTAAATTTCTATAATTCTCAGGCAAGCAGCTACTTCACAATCTTTAAGCAATCTCCCTCTAAAGTAAGCATTTAATAGAAATGAGGACAGCTGCGGTGGAAAGTGGTGGAAAGAATTGGGGCACTCAGAAGCATCCGCCTTAAGGAGATGGAGCATTTATTTAGCATAATTGAGGATACCAGTCATAGTAATGTTACGTTTATTAATTAATTGGTTAGGAAAAGCCCAGCTATTGAATAGAACGGGACTGATGTTGAAGGGTAAAGAATATTGGGGAAATGAAGGAGGATAGAACTGTCTGTGAGAGCTTGCTGCCCCCACATGTCATGGAGGATATTAGAGCATTGTGTTGTCAGTGCTGGAAGCCAAGAGACATGCCAATGTCAGGTTCTGCGCATGAAAGGTAAGAGTGTTATGCTTTGTTTTACTTCTGGCACTAACCAAATATTTTAGCCATTTGACTGCACGTTGCTCAGAGATCGTCTATTTATGGCAATATGAAGATGATCCCGACTTCTAGTGACTTCATGGCCCTGCTGTTAGTTTGATAAGAGGATCAATGTGATTTTCCAAAATTCCTGATTTTTTTAACTGCCTGGCTAGCCTATAGGCCCAATCTCCTGTTAGACTGCTACCTAGACTATCTCCCCAGCCTAGGCAGGTGCTCCATCTATTGAAGCAGTCTTCCTTTATGTGTACAGATTATATATTACTATTATTTCTAATTTCTATTATAGGCCATTTTAATATAGCAACAGTTCAATAGAATGCAAATAATCAAAATGAGATAATAGAAATTATTACAGGAATATTTTCTCAAAAATCTTGGTTCAAGGGAAAGTCAGCCTTCTTTCCAGAAAGGGCAAAGGCTGGATGATAAATACAGCTCAGAGAAATTGCATTTCATAGCCTGTCTATGCCATTTTTTTTCTTGCTCCTCTTCTATAAAATCACAGCTGACTTTTCCATGGTCTCACTGTCCCAAACCCATCATCTCTCTCCCTATCAAAACCAACTACTGCAGTAAATGTGTGATGGCTAAAAATAAAATAAAAAATAATAGAGGAAAAAATATCACTCAACCTCAACAGAACCTCCAGGAACAAATGCAGTATACCATCGCAGGAAGATGGCAATTAAGTTAATTTAGGTATAGGCTAGCATTCGGTTATTGTTTATCCACTTTTAGAAGCTCATTGTTGTTGGGGGAGGGCGTATTTCAACTTTGGAAGAGCCATAATTAAGTAGTTTTGACCACAGTTGGCTTGGTTGATTGGCTTAAAATAAGAGAGCGGTTGAAAAGCCAAGACCATATCCCAGATCCTGAGAGTTAGCCGTCTCTCAGTCCTGAGCCCACCACCCAGGCGCAGCTTTTCCTTTCTAGAGCGCCACCTGGCCTCCGACTCTAGTGGCGAGGATTTGCCCCCAGCAGCATGCAAGGAAAGGGGTGTGCGGGTCGTATGCCCGGAGAACTCTCTAAGCAGCAGCCCGAAGATGTTTTAGTTGTGAGCTCTGGGGTTGGCAAAATTACGCGCACAAAGTCAAAACCACACGCTCGGGCGAGCCAAGTGCCAAATCTAAAACGAACTTGCTCGGTAGCTATGAAAAATCACTGCAGAAACGGCAGCGCACCAGATACGGGCGCGATTACATTCGCAGGCGGGAGCGACGAGAAACCTCCGGCTTCGCTGGCAGCTTCTTCCCCCTCCGCCCTCCCGCACGGGCAAGGGCCTCTGCTTCTCTCCAGCCGAAGGGGTCCCCTCTCCTCTTCAGTCCACCCCATGAGCTCCTTCTCTCCGGCCGCTGCTTGCAGGCGTTGCCGGATGACGGACGGCTAGGGATCCGAGGCGGCGAGTTCTGCTACTAAGAGTGGAGCAAATAGTCCTACTACTTAACGCAGGGAAAGAGAACCGGAGCGCTTCTTCTACTCTCTCTCTCTCTCTCTCTCTCTTTTGTTGGAGAGGAGTTGATTTTTTTTCACCAGGCGCCTTTTCCCCTTCCCCCATTTCTCTGTAGTCGTTGCAAAGAGAAGGGAAAAAAACCAAACAAAAACAGCGGAATCTGGAGGATCTCGCGCGTTGCCCTCCCTCCAGCAACCCGGGGGTGGGGGGGTTGATGCTCCTTCGGTTGAACCTTCGGATTCCTCCAGCTTTTCCGCCCCCTCGTCGTCGCACACGTACGAGAAGACTGGCTTCCCATCAATATCACAGCCACGCGTTTCGTGGAAGGGGGACCCCCTCCTCTCTTCCGAGGGGGGAAAAAGAGAGAGTTTCTTCCCCCTCCCCCTCTGTGAGCGGACTGTAACCGGCGCTAGGTGGTGGTGGAGCAGCAAAAGGAGAACTTCGGGCAGATCTGCCGTGTGGAAAAAGATCGGCTTTCCTTGCAAAACTTTTTTTAAAAGCTGCCTTTTCCCTCGCCTTCCGCCGGTCGCAGTTTGTGCTCCACGATGTAAAAAGAAGCGCAGCTACGGCACCTTTCTATCGAGACGCGGCCCGTTCCGCCCTTCAGGGTAAGGGGATTTTCTAAAATATCCTTTATTATTAAGACCCGTTTAAATAGCCGCCGTCGCAGGAGAAGCGGAAAACGGGGGTTCCCGCCTTGGCTGAATAGCTGACGTTCCTCCCTCTGCACCACCAAGTCTCTCTCTCTGATTCCTTGAGCATTTCTAAACCGGGGCGGGGTGGAAGGGAAGCTCCTGTTAGCCCTGTGCATACTTTTATTTATAATAATGCACCGTTTGTGAGAGATGAAATGTGCCTGCCTAATGGGAAGTTTCATTTCGAACGGAGGGAGGCTTTCCCATCACGGAACAAGTGAATGTCTGAAGCCATATGTGTTTATCCTGTTTCTTTTTATATTTTATCCTCCCCAAACCTATGAAGTTAAGAAGACTGCTTTGACCAATACTTTATATGGAAAAACAAGCTACTTGCTCCCTCTTCCACTGACCTCATCAGTTTGAACTTGCTGTGTGTGTGGGGGGGGGGGAGGCAGAGAGACCATGTATCTGGGAAAGGGGGGTTCGCTAAAGCACTGTTGCTATCTGATTTCTTTCTCCAGATACCCAGATTGTGAAAAGGAGCTCCCATTTCCTCCAGTCGTGATGCTAATCCGAAAAGTCTTGCTCTTCCTTCAGTGCTGCTGGCCTTCTTTGCTGCTTCACTGGATGCTCCATCCTATGTGGGGCTTCATTCAGGTAATGGAAGAACTGCTTTTTTTTCCCTTCCCTTGCAAAGGGTGCCTTTCTCGGGTTTAGTCATTGACTGAGTTCCCAATGCAGCCTTAACTTCCGCAGAAAAGTACTTCGCAAACCGCTAATGAAATTACTTTGGCAGCAAAATAGCTGAATTCAGAAGGAAGGTGCAAAAGTGTCTGTTGATAGTAAATTCAGTTATTTCCATTCTGCATATAGGACTAATAAGGGTAGAGAAAACCTCACAACAGCTGTTATATGGTTTTAGCAATGTTGTGTTATTGTAGTTTCTGTCCATGTATCCCTTGCTTTCAACTCTTTTTAAAATTGCACCATTTGGCATATCTGTGCACAGCTAATAGTGTGGACGCTAGCTCTTTGGCAGATCTTGATCAGGCTGTTAATTTTAGAAGTGTCACAAGTTTCATGTTTATCAGTACAAATGAATGTGGCTATTACTTTAAAAGTCAGAGGTTTTGGAGATAACTATAAAAGGAGAAACACTTTCTCAAAATCATTGTTGATTACGTTCATAATATTTGATGTTGAAGTGCTTGGTATTTTTATTATTTGATTGTTAGTTCTAAAGTGATTTGTTCCACATATCCTCCATCACTGCACTTAAGGCTTTGTGACTTAATGTGTCAGAGAAAGTAGGATTTTGAATACCAGTTTTGATGCTACAAACAAGTGTCTAAACCTATGGTAAGACTCTCAGTCTTGTACTTTCAAGAGAAGGAACTATAGCAGCAAGCTTGGATGATGTGACTGAGCACAGAGGAGGAGAGTATGCTGAAGCTACTTTCAGATATTTCTATTCTGGCATTTGCACCCCTCCCCTTCCAGTAACATTGGATTGTGGTGTTAGTAGTGGAAGCACTGGAAATCAGTCTAGTATGTGTCCTTGGCAGTGAAGATAGCTGTACTTCAAAAAAAATTGGAACCTCTTCTGTAGGTGTGGCCTGCTTTCCAGGTCCGCTGGTGGAACCTCTTCTAACCGGTTTGGTAGATTTGACAAACCGGTTCTACCGAATAGGTGCGAACTGGTAGGAACCCACCTCTGCTGTACTTTCTCTCTGCTAACTTGTTCCTTGGTGTCTTAAATTGCCCTTCTATTTGCTGCTTTGGATTTGAATAGGAAAGACCAGTGTTAAAGTTTCAGGTTTGCCACAGTCATATGTAATTTGGTTTTGTTGATTATAATCCAATTTGTTTTCATACAAGAAGCAATGAGGAATGCATATTTACATCCCATTTTTGCACAGCAGTTCAAGAGAGCATGTGCAGTGATCCTCCCTCCTATTTATCCCCACTACGAGCAGCACTATGAGATAGGTTGAGTTGAAAGAGGCCACCTGACCCAAAGATGTTTAATGAATTTCTGTGGCTGAAGTTGGTTGCAGCCTAGGTCTTCCTTCTCCTAATCTAAACACTAAACTGGCTCTCTTTTAGGCTAAGAGAATTTGGCTTAATTTAAAGGAAGAGTAATTAGTAGTATGAATCCTAATTAGATTTGTTCAGATGTAATTGTCATTGAGCCCAGTGACACTTTCAACTAAATATGATTAGGCTTGCTGCCTGTGTGGTATTAAAGTACCAATTGTGATTCTAGGCACACTTGTCTGAAAATAAACTGAACTGGATTAGATTTATTTGCAAATAAATTTTCAAAGGATCATATAACGATATAAAGATATGGGAAGAGGGCTCAAGATGAATGGAAATAAGATAATCAGACCTAGAACTCAGAACATCTGAAAATATTTTCTAATATTTCAGTTGAAGTTTTGAGTGAAATGCTGGAGGTGTTAGGGAACTGTTTCTGAACAGAGTTTTAAATCTGGAAAACGTCTGTGTTGATTCAGGTTATATTTTATTTGACCTAAAAAGTTCTAAATATTTTTAAGTTTACAATGTTCAAAATGAGAGTATTGTTAGAAGCTTAACCTCTGGATAAATTATATGAATCTCCTCCAAATCATTTTAACATTTGGTCTGTCTTAACTGATTGGTATATTTAATGGAAAAATACTTAATAATTGAACTAAGATAAATTAGATGATACATGTGGGTAATGTTACTTAGGGAAGTTTCCATAACAAGAAAAGTATAACAACCTAACTATCACATATTTTTTACACTCTAATGATGCTCTTTTCAAATAAATATGTATCTATAAAGCCACTTCTGGCATTCTGCCATTGATTTTAGGCTTTGGATACATAATTCAATTCCAATATATGTTGCATGAATCCATACATAGATTGTATTATTTTGTTTTTATTTATGAACAGGGCTTGTACATTTGTTTTTAATTATATTCCTGGATGTCTTCCACATTTTATGATAAATATTCATTGTTAATCCCCCATAGTACTATTTTTATTGCCTTATCCTAAATTTTCTAAACAAAACCCAAACCTCAAAAACTATAGCATTGGTTGCCTCACTGAAAAGGATGCAAATTACAATATGCAAGTCTTTTCCAGCATATTTAAATGCTCAATGCTCTTGAGCTTAGTATCTACAAAATACAGTTTGTTCATTTGGAGTAGGACTTCATCCTTGATTGTGTTGACAGGAAGAGGGCTTTCTAAGACTCCTGACAGTAGTGGCAAAACAAGGTTTTCCAAATAGACTAATTTTATTAGCATTTTGGCACAAGATCTGATGCAACTATGAATTGAATGCAGACTGAGTCAGCTTTGTCAGCTTTCTGGTTTCAATTTGCCATGCAGTTTGACCTTGACATTTATATCTGGCAATGACTAGTGATCATTATAAATACATATAGGGATAACAGCAAAGGCTGCAGTTATGCTGACAGTGTCTAATTCTTAATGACACCAGCAATATTAAAGTAGCTAGCTGTTCAGAAATGAATCTGTTAGTAAGTAGGATACCAATAATCTATTTCATGCAGCCGCAGTATAGCCCAATTAATTAGAGTTGATTTTTTTGCTTATAATCTGGCTTGGTCTTGATGGGGTCACTGATAACTGGAATACTTAGAAGACATAGAAAACTAAGTTTTGCTCTTATAAAGGTGGCAGACTGTGTACGTGTTAATATTTAAATTATTTGGTTTAACTTTCTCTCTGTTAGTCTTTAGATCTATCAGTTGTCCAACTGCGAAATAAGATTCTCACTTTGCTGCCTGTGATGCTTTAGAATCTGGGTGGCTAAATTAGCTTACATAATTGAAAACTGGGCATGTTTACAAGGCAGATATAATTATAAGAAAATAACTGCTTTTTAAAACCAAGTTCCCTTCAATCAATCATTTAAACATACATAAGCAACTGTTATATAAGCTTTGTAGATAATTCACATTATGCAAAACAATAATATATTGAATTAGGTAGTAAAATGCTTTGATAGTAAAATCAAAGCATTTTCAAGTACAAATTATGGGACAGTATCTATTTTTATTTGCTTTTGTGCTTCTCAAAGTGCACACAGAGATCTATATTTTTTTCTTGTTATCAAGAAAACTATGGTGAAATGTCTGTATCAACAGGAGTCAAACTCAACTCACAGGACCCTTTAGAGTTATGCAAAAATATTGATCGAAAAAGTTTAATGGAAATGTATACATGAGCTTGCCTTTATATTATGCCTGGGAGAAAAGTGTTAGATTTGTGAAATGCTGTGATTTTATCAACATAAGCAGTTTTTTGTTCCTGTTGGATTATCAAAATAAAATTAACCACCATACAACATGAGTTTGTGAACTAGATTCCTGTAGAATTTAAATGACGGATAATCCCACCAGAGTTAAAAAAATATATATTATAGTATTATCTTTCAGCTCAGTGCTATATAGAATTGTGTGATATCTTGATGTTCTACTTGAACAGGATACACTTTGATTAAAGAGCGGGTTAAGGACTGAATGCTGGCTCTAACCATTCTATGGTGAATCTCCAAAAGATTCCTGTTCCCTTTTGCTGAATGCTAGGAGCATTATACTTTATAAAATCAAAAATATCCATATATTTTAAAATTTAACTGTTACATTTGTGTTGCTTCTCCTTCCCTTGTTTGCTGCTCTATACTGCTGCTCTTTTGATGCAAACTTCATAATCAAGAAAATATTTGTTATTCGGCAAATTGAAAACATTAGAAGTATTAGACACTTTAAAATGTGATATCCTCACAGTTAGTGACAAATAAATATAGTATTTTCCGTTCATTCATATCAGTTGAAAATTCATTTAAGACTACCAGCAGGGAAAACCTGCAGTATATAATTTCGGTTATAGATACAATAATATGAAAAGAACAACAGGGGGCAGAGCATGAGTTTCATGCTTCATTTTTAGGTAAAATGTAGCTCCATTGTCTTGGGCTTGTAAGAAGGGATAACAGAGAATTCGAACCAGCCTGAAGTTTGATGAGGTCTTGGACAAGATGCATTGGTAGACTCTTCCAATGCTACATGGCAAAAACCTAACGATGCAGATAGAAATCAGTAGTGATAAGCAATTATGTAATGGATGATGGAAGATGGAAGATGGTATTCTGTAATTCAGATTTGCCTAAATTCTGTGGTGCTATTACCATTTCAGCTTTATAGATGACTGAATTGGGTAAGCAATTCAATACTTTTCAGTGTAGGTAGATTCCTACAACAATGGGCTGTAATAGCCATCAATTATGGAGACTGGGAACAATGATTCAAAAGCTCAACTTCTCTACCCACTATTAAACTACATCATAAATTTACACAGAAGATCATATACTGGGCCTGTGCTATTGCAGAGAGGCTGAAAGTATCCACTTCCATTAAAAAAAAAAAACACTTGCTTGTTACTTTGAAATCCATTGAGCTTCTCAAATTTCCCTTTTTCCTTCTTTCATGTAGTCACAAGAAATACGGAAGAAATGTTCCTTTTTATTTATAATAGCCATAATAAATCAACTGACTCCATATTGTCTCTTCTGGCCAAATGTAGCTCTTGTGTCACATATTTGGCCAGTCAGGAAGGGCTGCAAGAGTC